TGGTCATTGGGGAACTCTACACTAAATTACTAGCTCATATCCCGTGATATGAACCATACAGTTGACCTGAGGACTGTGCACTTATTCAGGTCGGTTTTGATAATGAGTGGGCTTACATAGTTTTTTGGGTGATAAAAATGACACCTTGTTCAGACTGGATGGCCTCCACTTCTCATGTCTTCCTGGTTGTCCCCCACACCATCTGCCAGGAGAATAACCTTTGACTCACAGGAAATGCAGGGGGGATGTGAGGAGTGATTTGAGAAATGCCTCAGATAAACAGATAGAACACGAAAAACGAGGGTTGGAGGGAACTCCGCTCCAATTCTGATGAGCAAGTTTGCCACAAGTACTGTAAGGACATTCCAAATATTTTTATTAAAAAACATTATTATAGATATTTGGAGCGTCCTTACTGTAGTGTGCAGCCATGCACTTGTTTCATGGAATAAGCGTACTTAAAAGAGAAGTATAGTCAAAGATTTTTGGTCATGCTTCTATTCTGGGTCACAGGAATGCACTTACTTGTGCTCTTCTGTGACCCAGAATCAGCTGACGTCGCAAAGCTGCTCTGGAAGGATCCTGATCATATTGTTAGGATCCATCCATCTGCATTATTTACAACAGGCTCCAGCTCTCAGTGTGTGGCTGAGAGTCAAAGCCAGCTGCTCCCACCTGTTCCCCAGCCCGGAGGTCCAGTGAGCACTAGAGGGATAGGGCAGAGAGTGGAGACTGAAAGTCACAGCTCTGCTCAGAGGTGCCAAGATGCTGTGGGTATGAAGAATGTGGTGCCTGACCCTTCTCTTCTCACCAACTCGTGACAAAGGACTGGCTGATCTCACACCATGCTGTCACGTAACAATGCCACTGTCAGCTGCACCCTGCACAAAGATTTTACAGCTCGTGGGACCACAATCTTGGTGCCAGCAGCTTGAGAGCAATTATTACTGAGTTAAGTTAATCAAGCAATTAACCTTTAAACACCACCTTACCTTTTTACCAAGAAGGACGAAACTCACAATCTTAGCAATAACAAGTATGAAAAATAAACTTCTGTACACATACTGTCCCCACAGACAGGTATTCAGAGATTTATCATATACTGTACAGTAGCACTCTTCAACAGACAGGGATTCTTTTAGTTTGCATAGTGCCATTAGAGACAATCTCAAAACTTTTCAAAATAGGGTTTAATAATGAAAAGCTCAAAATGGTGCAAATAAATATTTACAGAAAAAAAGTGTGTTACAAGGAAACAAAGACAATAAAGCAACAGAGGATTAAAAAAAAAAGTTGGAAAATGTAGAATACTTGCAAAGTCGTTGGTGGAGTTCAGTCAATAAGCAAGGTGTTTTCTGCTCTCATAACTTGACAGATGTCCCTTCATTGATGGTACACGGAAGCTAGTCAAAAGTTCCTGACATTCCCTTTTTTCTGTAGTATCAAAGGGTGTTGACAGAGACCATCTGAGCAATCATCTGGTTTAAAGGGTGGGTGCTGGGGAGTTCACCACGTTTATTGACCAAGTCCCCAAATACAGTTTCTTATTCATGTTTCTGAATAGCTACCATTACAGTCTGCTGCTGTGCAGATTATATATGTCCAACATGAAATTAGCTTCAAAATGGATATACAGTTGCAAGAAAAAAGTATGTGAACCCCTTGGGATTACGTGGAGTTTTGCATGCATTGGGCATAAAATGTGCTCTGAACGTCATCTTAATGTCACAACAATAGAAGAACACAGTATCTGCTGAACATAATACTACACAAACATTAGATGTTGCCATGGTTTAATTGCACATAACATGTAAAACATTCACAGTGCAGGGAGAAAAAAAGTATGTGAGGCCCCTAGCTTAATGACTTCTCCCAGAGCTAATTGGAGCCAGGAGTGAGCCAACCTTGACTCCAATCAGTGTGATGATATTGGATGGTGTTGCTGACAGCTGTCCAGCCCTTAAAAAACGACACACACCTGTTTTTGGTTTACTGGTTTCAAGAAGCACTGTCTGATGTGAACCATGCCTCGCAGAAAAGAGCTCTCAGAAGACCTACGATCAAGAATTGTTTGACTTGCATGAAGCTGGAAAGGGTTACAAAAAGTATCTCCAAAAGCCTTGATGTTCATGTGTCCACGGGTAAGAGAGACTGTCTACAAATGGAGAAAGTTTAGCACTGTTGCTACTCTCCCTAGGCATGGTCGTCCTGTAAAAATGACTGCAAGAGAGCACAGCACAGAATGCTGCATGAAGTAAAGAAGAATCCCAGAGTGTCAGCTAAAGACTAGAGAAATCTCTGGCACATGCTAACATTTTTGTTGACACATCTACAATGAGGAAAACAATTAAACAAGAATGGTGTACCATGGGAGGACACCACGGAGGAAAACCATCATGGTCCAAAAAGAATATTGCAGCACGTTTGAAGTTTGCAAAAGAGCACCTGGATTTTCCACAGCACAACTGGCAAAAATATACTGTGGACAGATGAAACCAAGAATTGAGAGTTTGTTTGGGAAGAACACACAACACTATGTGTGGAGAAAAAAAAGGCGCAGCACACCAACATCAAAACCTCATCCCCACTGTAAAACATGGCGGAGGGAGCATCATGGTTTGGGGCTGCTTTGCTGCCTCAGGGCCTGGATGGATTGTTGTCATTGATGGGAAAATATGAATTCCAGAGTTTATCAAGACATTTTGCAGGAAAACGTACGACCATCTGTCCGCCAACTGAAGCTCCGCAGAGGATGGGTGATGCAACAGGGACAATGACCCAAAGCATACAAGTAATTCAACAAAACAACAATGGCTGCAACAGCACAGAATACGCCTTCTGGAGTGGCCCAAGTAAGAGTCCTGACCTCAACCCGATTGAAATGCTGTGGCATGACCTTAAGAGAGAGTAGATTCACACCAGACATCCCAAGAATATTGCTACACTGAAACAGTTTTGTGAAGAGGAAGTGGTCCAAAAATTACTCCAGATCGTTGTGCAGGTCTGATCTGCAACTACAGGAAACGTTTTGGTGATTGAGGTTATTGCTGCCCAAAGGGGGTGGACAACCATGTTATTAAGTCACAATCAGGTTCACATACTTTTTTCTCCCTGCACTGTGAAATGTTTTGTTTACATGTTATGTGCAATTAAACCATGGCAACATCTAATGTTTGGTGTTGTATAGTATTTATGTTCAGCAGACTGTGTTCTTCTATTGTTGTGACTTAGATGGGACGTTCAGAGCACATTTTATGCCCAATTCATAGATGCAAAACTCCACGTAATCCCAAAGGGTTCACATACTTTTTCTTTCAACTGTAGGTTGACAGGGTCCTTGGATATCTAATTTCTCATAGGAGGGGTGTGGAGGCCTAAATCCACTCTGGTACCTCCTAGCATAGGGATGTTAGGGTTCAAAATGCTACCCAATAACCGAGGGAGGTAAATATGTCCTATCTTCTGGCTGTGCTGTCTTTCTTTCATGAGTAATGAAACATGCTGAGGTTTTAGAGTCTTGGCTGATAATCAGTCTATCAAAAATATGTATTCCACAGACTTAAAACTAAGGTATTTATGACCCAATGCCTGTTAGTTCTTTGGTTGCTGAAGCTTGCAAGGGTGATAGTTTTATAGGGTTTCCAGACTGAAATTGTGGGTTGGGTAATGGAGAGGTCTGTGTGTCCAATCAATGGATTGATAAGAAAGCACTGGCATCAGTTAACAGTTGTGTATTGTGCAAGATGGCTTCCAGGGGGATGTAAAAGGAGATCACTGCTGCCATTAGGCCTCCTTATTATACAAACTGTCATGAGTGAACTCCAAACAACATGGTTGCCACGCACTCAACTATTTGTGTGGCTACTGCGTGCAACCATTACAGTGGGTTGTTCACAAAGCACAGTGTGGCTCATACATGCGCAGTGAAAACCCAGCTGTGAAGCCGCAAGGAATCACAGCTGGCTTCCCACAGTTAACATTATGGCTCCGGGGACCTGAAGACTGGTGAAGAACCAGCCCAGGTGAGGATGGCATTGGATCCCTGGACACATAAGTGTTTTTTATTTAACAGTCAGCAGCTACATTATCTGTAACTGCTGAATTTTGAACAGGGCGTAAAACCACTTTTAAAGAAAAGTTTGGGAATAGCGAAAAAAAAAAAAAAAAAATCATACTCACCTAGATGGCTGCAGCACCAATCCCAACTTCATCTGTCCATCAGCTCTACCCCGAGAAACCGAGTGATCAAACACCACTGATTGCTCAGTTCTCCCCCTCCGTTCTGAACAGAGAGCCGGTGACTGTCAGTCTCTGGCTCTCTACTCTGCCCCTCCAGTGCTCACTGGAGTGCAGAGCTGTGGAGGGGGCAGGCTCTCAGCAGCTTGATGAGAGGCTGAGCCAGGTGCTGGTCCAGGAATAAAAAATTATACTCCCCCTAGGTAGATACTGTATCGGTTTGATGCTGCATCTGTTCCCTGCTGCTTCTAAGACTGAGAGATCAAACACAGCTGATTTCTCAGTTCTCAGCCTTCATTGAGTAGAGAGCTGGTGACTATCAATCACTGTCTTTCCGCTCTGCCTCTCCAACACTCACTGGAGCACTGGGCTGTGGAGGGGGTGGGAGCAGCTGGCTCAGACTCTCAGTGGCTTGCTAAGAGGTTGAGCCAGTTGCCATTCTGGGTGGATCCCAACCATAGGGACCAAGGTTGGGATCTTTTCAGAGCCTGGATTGGATGAGTGACTTCAGCAAACAGCAGACTTTAGCCCACTGTTGGCTAAAAATGGGTCACAGGAGTGCAGAATGAACTCCTGTGATAGGAGAAGTATAGCCAAAAAAGCCAGCCTGGACCAATGTAACTATACAAAGTAAAAAAAAAAAAGTAGCGTTAAAGTGTTACTAAACCCACAACAGTAAAATCAGTCTGTATATGCAGTAAAGCATGGTTGATATACTCACTGTGGAACCTAAAGGGTTAATCCTCTGCATTGTGTTAAAAGGCTGTTTGATCCTGTCTTCTCTGATTCTCCCCTTCTTCCAATGCCCCCCTCTTATCTCCTGATAAGACATATTGTGTGGAGATACTCTGGACATGCTCAATTTGGTGTGTATTGCTAGAGAGGTTTTTTTTTTTTCCTTGGGAGAGTGCATGTGATCAACACAGGGCCAATCAGCACTGCCAGGAAAGAAAACTCCTCCTGCAAGCTTTGAAGCTAGGAAGTGATATCAGTCTGTATACACAGCAAAGCATGCTTGTTATACTAACTGTGGAACCTAAGGGGTTAATCCTCTGCATTGTGTAAAAAGGCCATTTGATCCTGACTTCTCTGCTCCTCCTCTTGTTCAAATGTCCACATCTTATCTCCAGATAAGACAGACTGAATTGTAGCCATTTGCACATGCTCAGTTTAGTGTGTATTGCTAGAGAGGTGTTTTTTTTTCCTTGGGAGAGTGCTTGTGATCAGCACAGGGCCAATCAGCACTGCCCAGAGGTCAGGGGTCCTGCATCCTCCTACAGCAGAAAGAGAGCTCCTCCTATAAGCTTTAACCAGTGCTCTGCTAGGCACTGATAGAAGTCACAAGACTGCTATATACTGCTGATGAGAAAAGGTATTTAGCAGTTTATAATTGTATTTTCATGTTCTGTGTACTGTGGGAGACCAGATATAGTGAATGCAGGGTCCTGGGTTTAGTAACACGTTAAGCTTTTAATAATGTTATTAACTTTTTTAGATATTATAAAGCAGACCTAAATATAATATTATTGTTGTGATTGGTATTAGTCAACCTGACCACCCTATAGCAGAGCTACTGCTACAGGGCGGCAGGGCTACGCAAAATCACATATATATATATATGTGATTTTGTACTTCTGGGTAGGGGGCGCGCGCGCGCCATTGGTGGCTTCAGCTGTCAATCACCGGGTATCACTGACTGTATGTAAAGACAATACAAATCTCTTCCATGTCAGCTCCAGCACGCTGCTTTGAATGGCTTTGCATAGCAGAGCTATACAAAGCAGCCTGCTTACATAGTAAAGCACAGCACACAGTAAAACACACACAGCACGCAGTTAACCATTTGATTGTCCCAGATGTTAACCCCTTCCTGCCCAGTGTCATTAGTACAGTGTCAGTGCTTTTTATTAGCACTGATCACTGTATTAGTTGCACTGGGGATGTTAGTGACAGTTAGTCAGTTCCCCCCAGTGTCAGAATGCCTGCCGCAGTCCCGCAATAAGTTTCTGATCACCGCCATTACTAGTAATTAAAAAAAAAATAAAAACAATCCCAGTGTATATACTGCCATTTGTAGACACTATAACTTTCACATAATCATATAATTTACATGTACAGTATTGGGATTTTTTTTTCAGCAGACATGTAGCAGAATACATTTTGGCCTAAATTTATGAAGAAATTAGATTTTTTAATCTTTTGTTACTGGACATACTGTATTTACTAGCAAAAATATTGTTTTCTTCTCAAAATTGTCAGTCTTTTTTTGTTTATAGCACAAAAAATAAAAAAAATGATCAAATACCACTGAAAGAAAGCTCCGTTTGTGGGGAAAAAAGGACATACATTTCATTTGGCTGCAGCGTTGCATGACCGCTCAATTGTCAGTTAAAGTGACACAGTGCCATATCGCAAAAAATGGTCTGGTCAGTAAGGGGGTGTAAATCCTCTGGAGGGCAAGTGGTTAACCGCTTTCCCCTGCCCTATAGCATATATACTGCTACAGGGTTGCAGGGGTGTGCAAAATCATGTGTGTGTGTGTGTATATATATATATATATATATATATATATATACATACATACATACATACATACATACACACACATATACTGTGTATATATATATATATATATATATGTGTGATTTTGCATTTCCAGGTAGTGGGCGCTTGTGCGCCCTACCCATGCTGCTATTTGTAGCCTTGGCTGTCACTGGGTCCCGGACGGTTATTATACTCCGGCACCCAGTGACCGTGGAGCATTACCGATGGAGGGAGAGAACTGTAAGTAAACAATACAGTTCTCTCCCTTGTCAGCTCCTACACACTGCTTTGCATGGCTCTGCATAGCAGAGCCATGCAAAGCAGTGTGCTTAAAATTGAAAACACAGACACAGCCCGCAGTAAAACAGCACAAAGTTAACCCTTTGATCGCCGGGGTTACATTGTAACCCCTTCCTGTCCAGTGCCATTAGTACAGTGTCAGTGCTTTTTATTAGCACTGATCACTGCATTGGTGTCACTGGGGATGTCAGTGACACCAAATCAGTTCCCCCCAGTGTCAGAATGCCCGCTGCAGTCCCGCAATAAGTCGCTGACCATTTGTAAACGCTATAACGTTCACGTAAACCATTTAATTTACACGTATTGGGAATTTTTTTTTTATTTTACCAAAGACATATAACAGAATACATTTTGCCCTAAATTTATGACGAAATTTGATTTTTTAAATTTTTTCACTGGACATGTGTAATAGCAAAAAGTCAAAAATATAGTTTTTTTTTTTTCTCAAAATTGTTGGACATTTTTGTTTATAGTGCAAAAAAAACAACCGCACAGGCAATCAAATACCACCGAAAGAAAGCTCAATTTGTGGGGAAAAAAATGACATGTTTCATTTGGGTGCAGCGTTGCATGACCGCGCAATTGTCAGTTAAAATAACGCAGTGCTGTATCGCAAAAAATGGCCTGGTCAGGAAGAGGGGTAAATCCTTGAAGTAAATAATAATAATAACAATAATAATAATGATACTGGGACATGTTTTCTTCTTATCGGCCAGTAGGGGTCAGTATGACTTCTCCGTCCCTGTTCATGGCAGGAGGAGAGGTGGATGATTGTACATCCGGGTGAGGATAGAATCTTCCTGTCTCTCCATGATAAGGAAGCGGTTGGTGTCCTTGTGCTGGTTCAGGTGAATGTGAGTGGTGTCGGCGCTGTGCAGTGTGAGTTGTATTTGGTGTCGCCCTGTGTGGTGTGTTATATAACCTCGCCGTGCTTCGTGCTCTGTATATACTACTACTGATGATGATGGTGGTGGTGGGGTGGGCGCTCCGGGCACGCCCTCCGCTGTCAGTGATGTCGGTACACGTGCGATGTGTTTATTTTCATGTAATAACTGATAAGTGGACGTTCCCTGTGTATACAATACACCCCGGGGGTGATCACATGGACCCTTCTCACCCCTGGCCCTGGCACTGGGTGTGGATGTTCTGCTTTCACATCTGAGCAGACCTGCGGACTACTTCTGCATTAGAAACCCCCCCATCGTGTGTCAGAACTCCTCCCTCCATGCACACTCATCTGTGGGAGGACAGGTCACCAACAACTGTCACTTCTCTCAGTATTATTACATAGTGAATCTACCAAAAGGTGAAGTGTCAGCTGTGCGCTGTTCAGCACATAATTGGCTGAAAGACACCAGACTGCACCAAAAGTAGCGCCCACCCCACGATATAAAACGCACCGCAACCGGCATCGCATGGTTATCTTACACTGACCCCCCCCCCGCAGATCGCAGCTGCCGTGTGCTTAGACTGTGGTGCAGGAAATGTGCTCGGAATGCAGGTTTCCTAGTGTGAACAGGAACAGAATGTGCTTGTCATGAGCACAGGGACCCAGATCTCTAGTGATGAGCTGGGTCACACCAGATGCAGCCCAATGCGTTTTTATTCTGCATCAAAAACTCATGGACAGCTTTTAACATGGATTCCAATGGCCCTAGCTCACACCAATGTTATGCGTTCCAGTGCAGCCAACAAAAGTAGATCAATTTGCATTTGTTTTCTATATGGAAAATGCATCAAAAACACATCGGAATGTGTATGTTCTCAATTGATATTAAGAAAAGAAGGGAAAAAAAACAGAATAAAAAAAACACATGCAGAAGCACATCCGAATGCAGAAATTGTTGTGCAAGGGCCAGTTCACACTACAAAAAACGCACTCCAGATCCTTTCCAGATGTGTTTCTGCATGCAGGCTTTAAAACATTTTTGATGCATTGCGTTTCCAGATGGATTCCAGGTGCTTTTTTCTTTTTCCTGGTTTTTTTCTTTTCACTGGGGTCCAGTGCATATATGATTTGTTTTTGATGTGTTCTGGTGCAGTTTTTTATGTATTTTACCGTGTTCCAGTACAGTTCAGTGCAGGAAAAATGCAGCATGTTCTACTTTTTTTTTCTGGAAATGACCCTGGAAATGACTGCATTGGTGTGAACTACACCTACTTTCCATACACACCTAGGTGTTTACAGGATTATTTGAAGAGAAACATTTAGGTGAAGAAAATGAAAACATTTTGAGGGGAGCTTTTGAGCATAATTTTCGAGCATACATGTATTCCAATAGCCAGAATAAGTAAACCCCTTGGTGCCAACCTCCTCCTGCTACTTTAACCACCTCCCACCCGCCATATAGTAATATGACGGACGCAAGGTGGTTCTCTCGTTCTGGAAGGACGTCATATGACGTCCTCCCATTGTCACCGCGCATGCGCGGCGATCGGCGGTGCGCTGTGTCCCTCGAACACAGCGGATCATCGATCCATGGAAAGAGCCAAAGATGTCGGCTCGGTCATGTGATCGCATGTAAAAAGGGAAATGCCGGTTATCAGCGTGACAGCTCGAGAGGAGAGCCAGTAATCGGCACACCGCAGAGGGGACATGTACACTGATGATCAGTGTGCCCTGATGATCAGTGTAGCCCTAGCAGTGCCACCTGTCAGTGCCACATATCAGTGCCTACTACTGCCAATCAATGCCACATATCAGTGCCCATCTGAGCTGCCTTTCAGTGTCACCCATCAATGCCAATCAGTGCTGCCAATCAGTGCCAGTCAGTGCTGTCTTTCAGTGCCACCTACCAGTGGCCATCACTGCAGCCTCAGCGCACATCAGTGAAGGAGAAAAAATCACTTATTTACAAAATTTTATAACAAAAACTAAGACAAAATGTTTTTTTCCCAAAATTTTCAGTGCTTTTTGGTTTGTTTAAGAAAAAATAAAAAACCCAGAGGTGATTAAATACCACCAAAATAAAGCTCTATCTGTCACACAAAAAAAATGATAAATTTACATATGGGTACAGTGTTTCATGACCGCACGATTGTCATTCAAAGTGCGACAGCTGGAAATTGGCCTGGGCAGGAAGGGGGTATAAGTGCTCTGTAGGCTAGTGGTTCAGTGTTTCCCATAGGCGGAAGGTGAGACAGGCCTTCGGGTTATGTGATATTTGTGATTGACTGTCACAGCAGTCACATGATCAGAAAGCTCCCAATCGCAAGTATTGATTGGGAGCTTATCTATCACCGCCAGCTACTATGCAGGGAGTGCGCTTTCAGAAAGGCAAGTAGTTTTAACAAGGCCACAGATTAAGGCCTGGTTCACACCAATGCAATTTTTAGAGCTTTTTGCAGAAATGCACTACAGCCCATTTAATATGGTTTCCTATGGGACATGTTCACATCTATGCGTTTTTGAGCTTCCGCATTTTTTGGAAAAGATCAGGGACTTTAAAATGCAAAACGTTTTTTGGTTCAGTAGACTTCATTGTAGATGCTGCAGAAAATGCATGTAGTGTATATTTTTAATCTGCCCAGAAACAAGGTCCCCCTCCTAAAAACATAAAAACGCATAGGCAAAAAACGCACTGCTTAAAAAGCATTGCAGAAAGGGACAAAACGCAAAATGCATTGGTGAACCAGGCCTATGGCCCACACACCGAGCAGCTGCATATATATGCGGTGTCAAAAGGTTAATTTTCTGGGCAGTAAATTAATTTACACTCCATGCTATATGTGTATAAAAACATGCGTACATATGCAACATTAGAGCCATTTTTTATGCCAAGGTCTGGCAGAAAAAAAGCAGCATATTTCGAGCATGAATTCATACACCTATGTGCATGAGGCTTTTACTTAAAGCGGAGTTCCACTCACCTGTCAAAAAATAAAATCAGCAGCTACAAAAACTGTAGCTGCTGACTTTTAAAAAACAGCCATTTACCTGTCCCTAGGTCCTGTGGTGTGTCCCCCGCAGCCCATTTCACAGGCCGTCCTGTATTCCAGGCGCTGGCATCTTCAGTGTGGGCACCCGGCTGTGATAGCTTGCGGCTTCACAGCCGGGTACCCACTGTGCATGCGCTAGTAGCGCTGTGCTTCATGAATGGTCCTGAAGTCTTCTGGGATCTGTCACGTGTCCCAAAAGACTACAGGAAGGGAGGACACCTTCCGTTTCCGATCACCTAGGCGATCGGACCGGAAATGGGAGCGGGTACCTGTCATTCGGGTACTCGCTCCCCCCCGCCCCCCAAAGGTGCCAATCCTTAATGGGGAGCGGGGGAGCAGTCCTTAAAGCGGAACTTCCTCTTTTGGGTGGAGCTCCGCTTTAAGCCCAACTTTGAGCAGATAAAAAATGATCCCTTGCAGTGGGGCAGTGCTGGCACTGCAGGGGGTTAATAGCTTGCTTTGTCCAGGAGAGAGCAGATGCCTATTACCTGATCCTCCACTGCCCCAACTGAAGGCGCTCCCCCCATAATCTAGCAGCGGAACGTCCCTTGGCGTCCTCATGTCTAGGGCAGGGCTATGAACCTTTCTTGATGATGTCAGGACCCTACAGCACGGAGAGGGGTAGAAGCTGCAGGCAGGAGGGAACTGAGGATCAGATAGGTATGTCTCCATTTTTTTGTTTTCTAGACATAAACAAGCAATTGTTCAATTTATTTTTATGTGGTCAGATTTGGGCATTAAAGCTGAAGTTTTCTTGTATTTTGTCTTTCTTGGTTCCTCTCCTCATCAACATGCTAACGACATTTTAAACCACTTTCCCTCCAGAGGATTTACCCCTCCTTCCTGACCAGGCCATTTTTTTGCGACATGGTGCTGTGTTACTTTAACTGATGATTGCGCGGTCATGCAACGCTGCACTCAAATTTATGTCCTTTTTCCCCACAAACAGAGCTTTCTTTCGGTGGTACTTGATCACCTTTCCTTTTTTTTTTAGTTTTTTCACTATAAAAAAAAATACTGACAATTTTGAGAAATAAAAAATATTTTTTTACTTTTTGCTATTAAACGTGTCCAGTGAAAAAATTTTAATCCAATCTCATCATAAATTTAGGCCAAAATGTATCGGTTTACGTGAAAGTTATAGCATTTACAAATGGCGGTATATATACTGGGATTATTTTATTTTTACTAGTAATGGCGATGATCAGTGACTTATTGTGAGACTGCGTCGGGCATTCTGACACTGGGGGGGAACTGACATCCCCAGTGACACCATTACAGTGATCAGTGCTAATAAAAAGCACTGACACTGTACTAATGGCACTGGGCAGGAAGGGGTTAACATGAGGGGCAACCAAAGGGTTAACTGTGTGCT